GAAGCTCGAACGAAGCGTAGCGGGCCGACTTTTCCATGACACGTCGACTATATTTTAGGTCTTGATGGAGAACTCGCAGCAAAGTGGTAAACGAAATCTTTTTTACCCAATTGCTCCGTAACTTTCGTCTGGAGCTCCTCTAAGTAGAGAGCTGGGTTTGCTGCGTAACATTCTTCAACTATATTGGTGAGTCCTGGACCACGTATTCGGTCATTGCGCTTTTGTCTGCGTGTCCTAGTGGTGAAAGGTGTACCTATCAACTCGAAACGTGAGACAAATCTACGTGCTGATCGCAAAGAGCAATCTTATATCTGCATTTGTGATACTATAGAAGTATCGTGCGATCACAACTAACCACGCAATCTCTGGTGTAATCATCGTACATATATAATTGTGTGTGCTGTGTAGTCCAGCCGTGTTTATTTGTGTTTTATAAAAAAAAGAGAAAATGAATACTGAACGCTAATCACGTTTTTGACTATTTCATACAGCTCAATTTTTGGACCGCTAATAGACCTGGATAATGCACTTGATTTGAACTTCTGGACTCTAAATATGAGAGTCTCTTTGCCAATCAGCTACCAGTATTGAACTTTGAGTTTCTGAGTTCTCAGCTCAGTGTCTACTGCCTGAAAACTCAAACAATTATTGTTTTCGATCATAAGCCAATGAAAATGTCTTCCTAAAATAAATTTTAATTATCGCCAAACGCGAGCATGGCCCGACACAAAATTCAGAAAGTTTACGTCGGCTGAATTCGGCTCGTTTGCTGCCCCTAACCGGGGTGATTGACAGAATAGGTGGAAACGACAATAATAATACAGAGAATCAGCTAATTTACAACTGAGTTGTGACTTTATTTCGGGGGCAGTTGGCAATGCACTTGGCAGCCGGCAGGACAACATTTTTTTAATTTCTAATAGCATTTTTCTATTTGTTTTTTTTTAAAAGTATTCATGCCTTCTCATGACTCATAGCTTCCTGAATTAAAATAAGAACAGATTTTAGGAGGCTCAAAGAGCAAAAATGAATTTTTAAAAATACTGAGCTAAAATCACATAAATAGCTCATATTTAGAATCTCTTCCGTCCCATTTTTTTGTGCTGTCTGACCCTATTTATAAACAAAATCCATGGAACTAAAAATAATAATAATAATAATGGGCCATCCCCTAAAAAGAATTAATAAAATGGACCATCCCCTGAGGGCAAAAAGCGAAAAGGGGGCCTACTAGTATTTGTTTTTAAAAGGGAGTGAGCCGCCTTGAGGGTCCCAGTCTCCCAGACAGTCTCCCAGACAGTCTCCAGGGCCCAGGCTTCCTAGCTTAGGTCCAGGCCCAGCTATTACTATTTTGCAGTGGGAACTGGTGGTCTCAGAGACTCAGACTCTCAGAGGGCCCTTAGGGGTATTTATGTATATTATTTCTAAAATTGGTGAATTTAAGCGGGGAACTGTAGAAAAGACTCTATGCCGTATGGGGGTCTACAAATAGGCAAAAAGCGTCGCGAGCAGATTTTGCGTGACAGACAAGGGTTTTTGTATATATAAAATTAAACAAACAAGCACTTTCTCAATTTCTCGTTTCGCTTCTTGGCTCTGTTTTTTTATCAAAATTCCATAGCCTTCTGAATTTTTTAAAAATATGTGTAAATACAAAAATACGCTTTCAGTACAATTTGGTTTTTTTTTGGTTTTTTAAAATTAAAATACAAACAATATATATGTACATAGGACCAAGTGACCAAGTGGCTAGTAGTGGCTACTCTGTCTACTCTTTCTGTGTAAAATATACATATTTGTTTTAAACAAAATACATTGCCGTAGGCCAGCCCTCATAAATAGCCTTCTATGGTGTATTATATAGTGGTATTGTATTTTTATTTTTATTTTTATTTTTAAAAAACATATTCACAAACAGCCCGGCGTCAAGACAGAAAAGTCAGAAGGCCGAGGCCCGACTCCCGAGGGCCGAACCTCAGCCGGAGGCGGGTGGGCGGTGACTCTCTGATCGGTGGCTACTAGTAGTCGTACTGGCTACTGGACTGGCTACTGACTGTCTGACTCGCACTTCGCAGTCTCGCTCGGTGCTCGGTGCCCCAATGCCCTTGACCGCTTGGCGGCTATCCGACAGAGTTTTGACCTTTGGGCTTAGTGAGTATTATAACATAAACACCTACTGACTCTTGTGCTAACTTTGAAGTCGACGACAGGCATTGGGCCTGACGATTCATGAATCAAGATAGACTAATGACTATAGAATACTGTATATTTACACTATACATACACGACTTATAAATGACAGATCGCACAAGGACACGTTCGCTCAGTCCCCACTTCCCCCTCCCTAAAAAATTGACCAAGGTTCGACTCAAATTGAGGACCAATCAATAGTCAGTTGAACAGCTCTCTAGAGGGGGTTCTGAATCTGTACTGTTGTGTTGATTGGCTGCACTTTTGAACGCTTTTCCGAAAACAGTTTGGCCAGTCCCTGAACCCAATCACCAATTCTATTTCGAGCTCGATGGGGTTTTTATATTTGAAAAAAAGTAAAAACATCAATGGCCCACCACTCCCCAGTCACCACTCACCAGTCACCACTCACCACACACCACTCACCGCAGGCCGCAGGGGCCCAGACGCCCAGGGCATCCGATTTTTCATCACTACTAATAAAGCTAGCGTGAGAAAACATACGTAAGCTCTCAATATTACTTATTAGACAAAGAGAGTATGCGTGTGAGTGAGTGTGGTACAGCCTAATCTCGCGTTTGACTGCCCGCGTTTGACTGTTTGTGGATTGCCGGGACTGTTTCATATACCAAAACGTATATGTGCAACAATTATACATGTGTGTAAGAACACAACACATATGCTTTGAATATATACTGAAACAGTCTGCATCTTGGATATTTCAAGTTGTGTTGTGCGCCCGATTCAGTGATAGAATGTACTTATAATATGGTCTCCTCGACCTCACGTTGACTATATTGTACAGAATTTCGTTTAGCGTTTTTGTATGATGCCGCAACGAAGATTTTCCAAACATAAGCTGTCTTTCAGCAATGAAGACATAATGGATCCTAAAGAAATTATGAGTCTTACTAGCCCAGTGCCTGCTGCACCCACATCGAAAATGAAAGGGGTGCACTCCATGCCTCCCAGCAATAGCGGCAATATATTCTCCTTCCACCACTATGGTAGTACACACAAGTCGATACGGAAAAAGTTGTCAGTAGATAGTCACAGAAATTCTAAGCCGCAACTTACACCGCCACCTCTTCGGGAAGTGCTGACGTATGATGATGACAATTTCAGGTATTAATGAATGCCTAGAAAAAATACAACTTGATATATATATATATGTGTGTGTGTGTGTGTGTGTGTGTTTGTGTGTGTGTGTATATATAAATACGATATATATATATATATGCATATGCATAGAGCTATTATCTATATACGCATATATTATATATATACATCTATAAATATATATATATGTATGTATATATATATATATTACGTAAATGCATATAT